GAATGACATTCCTCAAAACATAAAGTCCATTTCAAAACTACAGCCCTTTAAGTCTTGTCTACCATCTGCTGGCATGGACACTTTTTGTTGTGCTCATATTTAGACGTCCTATTTTGCAAATGCTGCTCTTTTGAAATTTGGTGTGCTTGTTTGTCTTTGTGTCTATGGTGTATAATGATGTGATTGTGATGCTGTATTTCTGAGTGTTTTATGTGCTGCAGCACATGAACCTGCTGTAAAACAGCAATTATGCTGAGTCAGGCTTGATTTTTAATAATCTTTTCCTGTTAAATAAATAAATCAAATCAAATCAATACACACACACACACCTGTATTTCACTAACCCACAACCGTCGTGCTGCTGTTGTTTTTTATAGAAACCAAGAAAATGTCAGAATGGGGAAATTTTTATTCAAAGTAAACACATAAAAAAAACTACCAAGCTAATTAGCTTTAAGTTGTCAGGCTACAAGGAAGTTATGGTTAACTAACTTCCTGTTTGGTTAGGCGCTTTCAAAGTAAAAGCACACTAGACACGTAAGCACAGAACTTAATGAATCATAACTCAGTAAAACCTAAATACATCGAAACTCAGAGACCAAATACAAACTTAAATCAAAGCATGTCATTAACTTACACAAAACACGAATAATAACAAAACGTCATTATGGAGAAAATGTGACTTTAGGAAACAAATATTTATTAAACGTGATGAAGTCTACGATTCTACTGACTCAGCTTTTAAATATAGGAYAGGTACTCTGTTTATTATAGCGACATTTGTAGTACAGACTGGTGGTAGTGCATCAAATCTGCAAAAACTGGATTTAAACATACATAATAAATCGATAAATGAAGAATGAATGACAATGACAGAGCACAAAGCCTTATTTTGAAATTCTTAAGTAAGTTTCACAGTGAAGCTAGCTAGCTTGGCAGCTGAACTACGAGCTTCTCTGACAATTAAAACAACATTTTAATGTACTTGACGCTAACAGCATAAAGAACCATGTTTTTATACATTCATGTTCTTTTAGAGTGGATTGGTTCGTGTATTTTTCCAGTCAGTTATTCGACCACAGCTGTCATAGATGGAGCTCAAGCAGCTAGTGCTAGCATGAGGCTAACATGRTTAGCATAACCACACAAAAAGACTGAGCTCAGTCAGCAAACTGATACAAATATAAATACGTACCCGTGATTCTCTTAGATATTCCAACTTGAGGGACTGATTAAGGCCCGGTTAGTGTCCATTTGTGGTCTCTGAACAGTTCACTGAGCCCACAACTTCTAAAGGCAGCATCGGTCTCAGATATGTGTCCCTCCTCCTGTGGTTGCATCACCAAGCGTCACACTGAGAGGGAGTGGACAGCAMACTGTCCCAACAACTGTTCAGGTTTCAGGCAAAATAATAACAAACTAAAACAAAAATGTTGAGGATTAGCACATTTACAGACCTTATTTCTTTTTATTAAGATTCACAAAGTAGAATATTTTATTTTATATTTTTAGTTCAGGTTGTAAAAACACCAAGAACATACAGTATTTAGGTCATTTACAAAAATAAAAAAATAATATACTTCCTTCTCTAAACAAATACCTCTAAAT